TTTCTCCACTTGACACCTTTTGGTTGCACTGGCACCTGACGCCTTTTTCAGCCCTTTGTTGCTGTATTCTCAGGCTGGCACCTCTCAGAACCATTCACTCATCATCCAAGCACTCTCTCTCTTACATACATTCCTTAATTAATGTTTCCCATACAATATTTTTGTATAATAATAACTTTACATATCTCAGAGTTGTAGTTACAAAAAGTTTCTGGGTGGTATTGCTTAAAACATTCTCTGAGTGCTGAATAAAGTTACAATGTTTTAAAGAGAACAGGCGTCAATTATGTAACAATGCCCTTAGTCAATTACAGGGCTTGGCTCCCATAGCAGAGTTAGTGGCTTGGCAATGCATTGTTACAATGTATCTCTGCAATGTCAATTTCAAGCTGCCCCTTGCACAAGCTTGAGCATGCCCTGGGGCAGAGGGGGGGCTGTTTCTGGCTACATAGAACTGTTAAGAATATAATCCTAAATTACATTACCTAATACATTATATTCTAAAGGGGCAATAATAATAATAAATCTAAACATTTAACAATCTTAACGAAGAAGAAGAAGAAGAAGAAGAATTAATAATAAGTCTAAACACTTTAAGTTGTGGGGAACAAATTATGGGGAGTCACTTCCATTTGGGGGAATCATTTTCAATACATTGATATGTTATCCCTACAGTGCCGGCCCCAGGCATGTAGCCCATGGGCTGCTCTAACCCCGGGCGTGTGGCGTATGAGCAGCTCCACCCCTGGGCATATGGCACAGGAGTGGCGCCGGCCCCGGGCATGTGGCGTGTGCGCAGTCCTGCCCCCAGGCGCATGTGCAGCCCCGCCCCAGGGTGCCCAGTGCATGAGTGGCCCTACCCCTGGGCACCCGGCAGCCCCAAAAGGTTGGGAACCACTGGATTAAGCAGCCAGAGCTTTATGTACCTGCAGTGAACACAGTAGGCCAAAAATTTTGATTTAAAGTTTAAAAGTATGCTGCAATCCTTGTCATTTTCTTCCTGTGGCATTCTTTTAAGTTAAAAAAAAGTATGATTTATCTCTAAATAAGATGATTGTTGTTTTCTAAATTCGGTAATAGTATTACAATATTGGGAAAGATCTCCTTAATACTAGTAATGAAGCACTTCTACTCTGCCACATCATGCACTCATTGTATATTTCAAAAGGAGAGGCACAGGAGAAAACCTATGGAGTCCTGCTGCACCTCTCCCTTTGAAACGTACACAAGCCGGAAGCGCAGAGGGATAGTGAATGCCCCCTTTATCGACAAATGCAGGGTGCACTCACTCACTTTCACCTCTGATCAGAACTTACATATATTTATAATGAAAGCATGTGATAAGGAGTACACTATTAGAAACAAATGATTACACATGCTTTCTAGAGACTAAACTTGAACTCCTGTCTGAAAGAGTTTTCATCTCACTCAATATCTTTTACAGCTTTTCAACCAAAGGTGGATGAGCTCTTGTTTTCATCACAGTAAACAAACTGCTTCATTCACTCCAACATCTTTACCTGAGATACACAGAAAGATACACACCCAAAGCTCATTGTATTTGCACACAGCCAGGATAGACACTGTGTGCACCTTCCCTATTGACTTCACTTATCATTGCTAACTTCTGACCTTAAACGTAAATGTCCATTGTAAATGTCCATTGTGTTAATTAAGCATTGTAAGCTAACATCCCAACAGACACACATTTCTGACTCATCTGGAGGAAAACCTGTTTTTCACCTCTGCCTTGGCAGACTTTAAAACTATATTTTCAGTATATATATCTGCATACTATGTAAGGAGTTATATGCATATAACATATTTCACAGTAACATTAATGACCAGTGTATGTCAATCTTAGAAGACCTCTTAATACCAAAAGAAACATACCAGAATCAAGATATTCTTGTAACCCCTTTACCAATTCACATTAAAGGATGCTAGGATCACATTTGTAGTCCCTCATAAATGAGTAAAAAGCTAGTCTTTTTTTTTTTTTCCTTTTCTTTTTTATAATGTCAAATATTCCAGGAGCTGTCCAAGACCAGTTCTACACTTAAGTCCACACAGCTATTGAGCTCAGGAATGTGAAAAATCCACACCCCTGGATGCTGTAACTATGGGGCTATGTTGACGAAAGAATGCAAACACCATTTGGAAAGGTGGATTAACTATGGTGATGAAAAAAACCATTCCATCTCTGTAGGAAACATCTACACCAGCGGTGGACAAAAACACAGCAGTGGTTCACTAGGGTTAGCGCCTGGCAACCTCTATATTTACCTTCACAACCACAGCTCCCATTGACTGTGAAGCGGTGACCCAGTTCGCATCACTTCCCGCCAATCCTACTGGCTGGGAATAGTGATCTGCGGTGAGCTGCAATTACTGGTACCTGCGGCCAGCAGGTAAGTACAGGGGTGGGGCTCGACAGGAGCTAACACTGGTGGACAGGATCTGGCCTGCAGGCCAGTATTTTTCCACCCCTTATTCACATTATAGCACAGCTGTTAGCACTGTAGTTAGACATGGCCATGGGTCTGAATGCTACAGGAACTCACTTAAAAACCAACTAGATCCATTATAGCACAGCTGTTAGCACTGTAGCTGTAGCACCTGTAGTTAGACATGGCCATGGATCTGAATGCTACAGGAACCCACTTAAAAACCAACTAGATGTTTGCTGGAATCTTGCTATTCCTAAAGACATAGTGCTAACCCAACTAGATGCTGTTTGATGACCCTCTCACACCTACATTATTGTATCACATGATAGAAAATCTTTAACCCCAACAGCTCATTTACATTAATTATATACTCTATGTAATAAACATTAGCTAAAGTCATCAGACAAGCATAATAAAAGCCCAAAACATAACACTTATATCATTCTTACCTGTAATTATAAATTAACTTCACAAACCAGGATACAAATAATAAAAAGCTTTCTTCCATTATGTTGGTCCAACAGTCACTTTCTCCCTACTGACTATTCCTATCCTTGAAACATAAGACACAAGATAAAGTACAGCACTGACTTCCACTATGGCACCTGTATCTCTTGTCTCTACCTCAAACTAGGTATGTGAATAGTTATCGGGTAAGCC